TGCGGTTCTGCGGGGGGCAGCGAGGCCTTGGCGCGGGGTGGGCCGCCCGGGCTCGGGGGGGGGGTCCCCGAGCAGCATCTGCCACCCTCACAGCCGCCGCCGTCGCCCTCCCCCAGCCGTGACAGCCTCGGCGTCTCCAGACACGGACCCCGTTGGCAGGGTGTGCGCTGTGGCCATCCTGGATCTTGGGGGTTCCCCTCCTCCTCTGACTTGGTAGGATCGTGGGCCTTCAGACCTCCCACCCTGGGTTTCCTCGCCCCAGGGCCGTCCCCATCTTGAGTACACTGCAGACTGCTTAACCCGAGTCCAAGGCCTCGGGTGGGAAGACCTCGGATCTCCTGCCGCGGAAAGACCGCGGGATCTCCTGCGTTACGGGAGCCAGCCTGGCACATGTTTTTTCCTTCCTTTTTGATTTTTGTTGCTACTAGGATTTGAACCCAGGGCCTTGCACTTGCTAGGTGGAGCTCTACCGCCGAGACTCCGCCCCCTGCGTCGTACCCCCTCCCACCACCGTGGAGCCACACCCAATCACTAAGCCCTACCCATCCTGGGAGCCCGTCTCCTGCTGTGGAGCCCCGCCTCCTGCTGCGGAGCCCCTCCTCTCAATGCAGAGTCACACCCAATCACCGAGCCCAACCCATGATGAATCCCACCTCCCACCATGGAGCCCCGCCTCCTGCCGTGAAGTCACACCCAATCACTGATCTACACCCCATCGTGCAGCCCCACCTCCCACTGCAGAGCCACGCCCCACCCAGGAGCCACGTCCGCTGGTCTTCTTTCTCTTTTTTCTTTTTTTTTTGTTTTGTTTTGTTTTGTTTTTTGCTGGTTATGGGGCTTGAACTCAGGGCCTGAGCGTTGTGTCTCTGAGCCTCATTGTGTCCAAGGTTAGCACTCTACCACTTGAACCACAGCGCCATTTCCGGCTTTTTCTGAGCATTTTATTGGAGATAAGAGTCTCACAGACTGCCCTGCCGGGTCTGGCTGCAAACTGTGATCCTCTGATCTCAGCCTCCTAAGTAGCTAGGATGACAGGCGTGAGCTATGGCTCCTGGGTTGTTTGCTTGCTTTCTTTGTTTGCATCTGAGTAGCTGGGACCATAGGTGTTTGTCACCCCTCCTTTTTCCCCCCAAGCAGTACCCCGGTTCTGATGCCCTGGAGCAATGGGGTGCCTTTGGGGTCTGGGGAGGTGTGGACAGGACAGCTCTGAGCCTGGCTGTTGGTCTGTGTACAGATGGATTAGGAGAAGCCCTAGTGGATGGTCATCCCTACCCGTGCTTGTACCACGTCCCAGGTGGGCAGAGGACAAAGCCAAAGGCCTTGTGACAGACTAAGAGAGCCCCCCTCCCCCTCCCCTTCCTTGCTGCCAAGCCCCTTTGGGGAGCCCCGGCACCCCAGGGCTGCAGTAGTGCTGAGAACCTACAGTTTCTCCCTGTCTTTGGCTGTCTTCCCTCACCGGTGGCGTCTGAGGGGTGCCAGGCAGATGCACAGGGCTGTCCCGCTGCAAATGACACCACAGAACCCCAGCTGGGCTTCGGTAGTGACCTTGTCAAAAAGGCCCAAGTGATCTCTGGTGGCGTGGCGCCGGGCAGGCTTGAGTGCCTGCCGTCTGCCCCTCGCCCCGCTGGGGAAACCCTTGACTCGAGGAGCTGTACGGCACAGTCACCGGTGGCACACAGGAGCCTCGCGGTCACCTCCCCTGTCACCTGCTCCTTCAGCCTCTCTGCAGCCTCAGCTTTGCTTCTGGGTACAGAGGGGGAGATCCAGGTGGCCAGGCAGTAAGCCCCAGGTCTCAGCCAGTCCTGGAGCCCAAGCTGGAAGGTTCTAGCCACATCTAGAAGGTTCCTGGCCATCTCTCCCCATGTCTCATCTAATCTCCCACCTCCTGGATTGCGGCTTTGCTTCCTGGGTTCTCTGCAGGGATCGGAGGCAAGAGAATTCTTTGGGGTTCTTAACTATGAAAATGATCCATGGGGTTTTAGAAAGGCCTTGCCAGGCTTCCAGGTCTGTGGTTCTGATTTTGTTTTATTTTTCCTGATGAGCAAGGCTGGAATTTGGGATGGCATAGTTTAAGGAGTGCTTATGCAGGTTAAAGGTGCCCCTCAGGCTGGGGTTTTAGGGTTTATCGCTAGCCACCCTTTGGGTTCCTGAGCCCCCAGAGTGTGTCCTGGCCTCTAGCTAGCACTGCCCATGGCTCCCTGCTGCCCTGGAGATGGAGGGTGTACCCGGGCGCGCCCTGGGTGAAAGCTGCCATAGGTCTCTATCCTCTGTCGGTTTGGTGTTTGATGGCTCTGGACCGTGGTGGTCCATGGCCCATGGCTTGGTAACGTGTCCGGAGCACTGGGCTGACCGGCCCAAGTCCCCTGCCAGTGAAGGGGGGGAGCCCTCTGTCCTCGCCGGGGTGTGGCGAGGAACAGCTCACCGTGGGGCGTGGGGGGTCACCTGCCTCAGGTCAGCTGCCGCCCCTCCCCTGCCTGGCCCAGCTGCCAGGGAGGGACATTGTGGGGTCTTGGCGTGGGACACAGGGTTGCATGGCAGGCTTTGGGGCCCTTTTCTCATCCCCCAGCTTGTCTGCCTCCCTGTTCAGGGGGTGGCCACCTGCCCTCAGCCTCCCTCCTCCTTCCCTCCCAAAGTTGGCCCGGGTCCTTCTGATGACAGTCCGTCTGTGGACCTTTCTGTTGTTGTTTGCGAGTCCTGGGGCCTGAACTCAGGGCCTGGGCACTGTCGCTGACCTTTTGCTCAAGGCGACCACTCTAAGAGGGTTTGAGCCACAGCACCATTTCCGGCTTTTTCTGTGTATGTGGTACTGAGGAATCGAACCCAGGGCTTCATGCCTGTGAGGCGAACACTGTACCACTAAGCCACCTGCCCAGCCCAGGTTTCTTGACATAGCCTAGGCTGACCTAAAACGGGTGCTGTTCCTTCCTCAGCCTCCCGTGGGCTCGTGTGACAGCCAGCAACCTGTCCCGGGCTCTGAGGGTGTCTACGGGCCAGGGCCGTGTTGGGAGTCATGGAGCCTGCACGGGAGCGAGGCTGTGCGGGCTCGCCATGCCAGACCACTGGCGCTGCCGGAATTGGGTCCCATAGCTGGCTGTTTAAATTTCCTAAAACAAATATTTACCTGCTTGGTCCCGGCCAGTGGAGCCTGTGTGCGAAGCCGGAGGCCAGGCAGCATGGGGGAGGGAGCTGCCCTGGACGGTGGGCAGCTGCTGGGGTGAGTGGGGGTGTCAGCTCATCAGACTCTGGGAGGGTGCACAGACTCCAGCTCACCTGAGGCGTCCAGGGCTGTCTCCCCAGTGGCTGGTAGCTTCTCACCCCGCCCCTCAGGCCCCATGCCTCCCATCAGGCTTGGCGAGAGTCATTCGCTCTGCAGCCCTCCCTGAGCCAGCCTCTAGGCTGCCAGGGTCCACGGTGAATGGGACAGATATAGGGGAGACAGGTCTGAGTAATCACAGTGACCCATGCTGACAGGGGCAGTGGTCAATCGGGTGGCATGTGAAAGACAACCAGAAAACCAGCTTTGTTTGGGCTGGGAGGCCTAAAAGATTTTGAGGCACCTGCCAGAACAGTAAAGCTATCCATTTATAAGTCAGTCAAGCAGACAGAGGAAAGCATGTTCCAGGCAGAAAAGATAGCATGTGCAAAGGCCCTGGGGTACATGAGAAGAAGTCTAGCCCATTTGAGCAGTCCACCAAAGGCCAGTTTAGTTTCCCTGGGGCACAGTTTTTGGCGGAGGGGATGGTGGGGGGAGTGGGTAGGGCTAGCCTTTGAAGGCCTTGATGAGGACTAGGGTTTGGGGTGTTTTCTTTTGCAGTGCTGAGGATGGACGCAGGGCCTCGCATATACCATAGCTTCAGTCCGGGGGGCTGTGGAAAGCCAGGAAGAGCTTTAAGGCTGAGAAGGGTGCTTTGTGGGCCGAGTCCAGGAAGATGGCTTCAGGCCCTGGCTTGGATTGGCAAAGCCATTGGTGGCTTCCCAAGAGGAATAGGGGAGACCTTTTTGGGTGTCGGACAGGCAGGGTGCATGGGCCGGTGTAAAATGAGAACGGGGGAGCCCTCTCACCATCTCCCCCCACCCTTTCAGCTTCTCACTGCCGTCCGAGGGGACCGAGAGGATGTCTGGGGCCCTGCCTGAGGAGCAGGCCGCCGCCGCCGCCACCGCCGGTGACATGGACGAGGCGGCCGGCCGCTTCCAGGTGCAGAAGCACTCGTGGGACGGCCTCCGGGGCATCATCCACGGCAGCCGCAAGTACTCGGGCCTCATCGTCAACAAGGCCCCGCACGACTTCCAGTTTGTACAGAAGACGGACGAAGCCGGCCCCCACTCCCACCGCCTTTACTACCTAGGTAAGCCGGGCCTTGGCCACGCGCCGTGGGGTCAGGGGGCAGAGACGAGCCTCTGCGGGGGTGCGCCCGTGAAAGCAGGGCAGGACCCAGGTCCCCCGCGGGAGCCCCGTGTCTCCCCCGCAGCCCGCCCCACGCGGCAGGTGAAAGGGGCCTTTGCTGAGGACAGGACACCATCCATGACTGCGAAACTGCCTGCCACCGCCCCTTCCTTTACAGCCCGGTCCTTGTCCAGGCTCTGGGGCTGCCACAGCCTCGGGCAGCAGGCCAGGCCTGGCCCCCCACCAAGGGACGGGATGTATGTGAGGAGCTGGCCACGGGGCCTGACTTCGCCTCCAGGGCTTCCCAGGCTGGGAGGAAGGAGGCCTGCCAGCCTGCTGCTTCAGCCTGTTTCTTCATGTGGCTGTGGGATCAAAGATCGGGGTCTGTCTCCTCCCTGGGCACAGAGGGGCCGATCATTCTCCCGCCTGGCATCCTGGGCCTTGCAAAGCGCCAGGCAGCTACCATAGACCTCCACCCACTCCACACCAGCAGCTCCCCAGTGGCGACAGCCACATGTCCCCAGACATTACCCCATGACCAGGGGGGGGCAGGTCCCCCACAGTTGGTTCACTGTCCTAGGGGCACGCTGGCACTGAATTCACCCTCAGGCCCCTCCTCCACCCCCCCACATCCCCCACTTGTCCTCTGGTGAGTGCAGTGAGCGGGCTGACCGTGTGCTGGTGTGCCAGAGCGAGACGGACGCCCCAGGATCTCCTCCCCTGCCCTGCTCATGGCCCTCCAGAGGCCCAGGTGGCAGTGCGTGGACATGGCCAGATGAAAACCACACAGACACAGTAGGGAGTAGGGTTTACCCAACCCCGGGCGTCCGGGGCCCGCCCACCCCATCTCCTGGCTGGTGGCTTTCCAGCAAGCACTAGGAGCAGCGTGGCCAGCACAGAGCATGCGCAGCTCTGCCAGGGCAGCAGCCGGGGATGCCTGTTCGTTGGCTTGTCCCCCATCCCTGCCGTCTCTGCCTCCCTACTCACGCAGCGTTGGACGTTTCCCCTCTGCCTCCCTCCCTGGTAGAAGGACGCAGGCACAAGAATCTCACCCCAGTTTGAGTCCTACTCTGTCCACAGCTCACAGCCCCCTGTCCTACCACACAGGGTGGCGTTTGCATTCAGGCCGGGAGAAAAGGGGCATTTTTAAAAAAATACATTGAGTTTATTATTTATCATAGAGGAGATGTACAGAGGGATTACAGTCTCATGAGTCAGGTAATGAGTACATTTCCTTTTGTACAGTGTCTTCCGCTCCCTCATTCTCTCCTAGCCCCTCCCTCCCATCTCCACCTACGAGTTATATAGGTCACTTTCATCAATGGGAAAGGGACATTTTTTCTTTGGAGGCTGCTATTCAGTCTCTCGGAACTGTCAGCAACGGATGGAGACACTCAGAGCTGGCCTCAGCCACAAAGGACACCTCCGAGTTGGAATGCAGGGTGGCACATAGAAGCCATGGGCATAAAGCCCACTGGCCTCAGGAAGTAGACCGGGAGCCTTCCAGAACCCAGGCAGGGCCCTGTGTGCTGGGGCCTACCCCACCAGGGCTGCCCACCTCCCCTCCCCCACCTCCCAGGCCCCAGGGCTCCACAGAAATGGAGGATCTCTACCCAGGTCTCTGGGAGAAGGGATCGGATTGGCCCATTGTAGATCAGATGGTCCAATCAGCTTCTGTGCTTATCTCTGGTGGAAGAGTCCTTATCAGCTTTTCCCCAGGTTTCCAGAAGGAATCTGATTGGCTCAGCCTAGGTCAGATGGTCCAATCAGCTTTCCCTGTGCTGTGTCTGGGTTAGTGAGAATGCCCCTGAGAAGAGGCTGCTGAGAACCCTGCCTGGCATCTGGCCGAGGCTCCAGAGAGGGGTGTGCACCTGGCAGAGACCCCAAAACCGGCCTGCAGCAGTTGGGCACCGTGCTGTCTGTTGGGGTGATGGTCTTGTCCTTGTTACTAACATTGCCAGGCCACAGCCCATGACTGGACAGGGTGTCAGGACAGATCCAGACACCTGCCGTGCTGTGACTGCAAAGTGGGTGACAGTGGAGGGCACAGCTAGAAAGAGCAGTCAGGGAGGGACCGTGGTGGCTGTGACTGACAGCCTCGTTTCCCGCCTGCCGCCCCCTCCCCAGTGCCAGGTGTCATGGGGACCAGTGCCAGCAGCAGCATGTCCTGGAACACCCTTCGCTGGCACCCTTGATGTGGTCACTTATTAATCAGCTGCTGGGGGGGTGAGGTGTGGCTCCAGTGTCCGTGTCAGGGCCTGGCTGTACTTGGCCACTTCCTGTTTGGAAGGAAGGTCTCAGCCGCCCCCAGGGACTCCCGCAGGCAAGGCTGTCCCCACAGAGCACACATGTTTGCTAGAGAATGGCCACCAGCCCTCTTGTCCTCCTGCCTCACAGTGTCCTGGGTGGCACTGGAGTTTGAACACAGGGTCTCTTGCTTACTCAATAGGGGCTCTATCACTTGAGCCATGCCTCAACCCTTGGGGCTTGCTTTATGCCCAGTCATATGCCCAGAACCTGAACATTTGTCCTCCTATTTGTGTTTCTGGGCTAGCACACCACTGAATGAGACAGAGCCTCACAAACGCGTATGTGCCGGCCAGGTGCCAGTACCTCAGGCCTGTCATCCTAGCTACGCAGAAGGCTGAGATCTGAGCATCATAGCTCCAAGCCAGCCTTGGCAGGAAGGTTCATAAAACTCTCATCTCCAGTTAACCACCAAAAAACCCAGAAGTGGGGATGTGGCTCAAGGGGTAGAGTGCTAGCCTTGAGTGAAAAAGCTAAGGGGCAGTGTCCAGGCCTGGAGTTCAAGCTTAGGACTGCACCTAAACAAACAAAATCTCAGGAAAAAGCCAGGTGCTGGTGGCCCCCACCTGTAATCCTAGCTACTCAAGAGGCTGAGATCTGAGGATCACGTTTCGAAGCCAGCCTGACCCTTATCTCCAATTAACCACCAGAAAACCGGAAGTGGTGCTGTGGCTCAGTGCCAGGTAAATGGCGAAAACGTCTTTTGCGCTATTCAGTCAGCACAAAGTCCTCACTTGGCAGGTACTGGCACCTTATCAGAAGGGTTAGGTCAAATCAGTGGTGGTCACTGAGGTGTGATGGCTTCCCCCAAGGCATGCTGGGAGATGTGTGGGGACACCTGTCACTCACGTGCTTCTGACGTGGAGCAGATGCAGTGCACACCCTGCACACAGGATCCCACCCGGATGGTTCTGCAGGAGGCCGGTGGACGGCCAATGGCCTTGGGGAGACCGTGAGCGGGACACATCCCCACTCCTCTCCACAGGCCTTTCCTCCCTGCCATCCCACACCAGCAGAGCCCCTGCCATGTATGGGGGGGGGGCATGGAGCAGAGCCTGCCCGCGGGAGCTGCGCCTGGCTCAACCTGCAAGCCAAGGGGCCTGGGGCTGCCACTCAGGACCACCTCCTGGTGCTGGCCAGGTCCCCATCCTGGGTTTGTTCTCTTTCCCAGGTATGCCTTATGGCAGCCGGGAGAACTCGCTCCTCTACTCTGAGATCCCCAAGAAGGTCCGCAAGGAGGCCCTGCTGCTGCTGTCCTGGAAGCAGATGCTGGACCACTTCCAGGTGAGCCACGCCTGGGGGCCCAGCGGGCCGGGGGGGGGGGCAAGGCTGCCCCCACACACCGAGAAGAGCCCTTATCCCAGCCTCTCCACTTTCTAACTGCATGAAGGGCCAGGAACCGGCTAGGAGGAAGGAGGTCCTTCCAAGAGTCTGGCTAATGATTAATACCCCTCCACGACAGGCCCTGGGGTACCTCTTGGAGGGCCTAGAGGCGACTGCCTTTGGCACTGGTGTGTTGACTTCTTGTTTACTGCAAAAACATTGGAAGTCAGGGCTGGGAATGTAGCTTAGTGGTAGAGTGCTTGTCTAGCACGCATGAAGCCCTGGGCTCCATTCCCCTGTGCCACATACACAGAAAACCTGAAAGTGGAGCTCTGACTCAAGTGGTAGGGGGCTAGCCTTGAGCAAAAGAAGCTCAGAGACAGCGCCCAAATCCTGAGTTCAAGCCCCAGGACTAGGGGAAAAAAATTAAAAAAGCCCTGGGTTCATCCCAGTGCTGGAAGAGAAAAAAACAACAGAAAAATGGCCAGGAGGTAGCTGGCGGTGCAGTGTGCTTGAGTCTCCACCAGGTCCAGCCCCCAGAGTGACCTAGCTGAGGTTGTGACACTTGCTGTGCAGTCAGGGTAATCTTGCCACTGGCTCTGCCCTGTCATTTAGCTTGTTTTGTCGGACTGGAGATGCTCTGAGCCATGCTCCAGACTTAAAAACCTCACTGCTCCTGTTAACACGTACCCTGAGATCTAGAGGATCACAGCTCCAGGCCAGCCCAGGCAGGCACCAGAGGCTCAGCTGCCAGCACTGGCTGGGTGTGGTGGCTCATCTCTGCCATTCCAGCTGTATGGGAGGCTGAGATTGGACAGCCCTGGGCAGAAAAGCCCATGAGGCTCCATTTCCATTGAAAAATCTGGGCATGGTAGTGTGTACTTGTCAGCCCAGCCATGATAGGAAGAAAATGAAAAAGAAGCTCACGGAAATAACCTATTTCACAAGTGTGAGGCCAAGTTTCAGTACTGATAAAGATAGATAGATATTTAGATAGATAGAGAGAGAGAGAGAGAGAGAGATAGGTCTAATCTGACCTATTTATCTGTCTGATTTATCTCTATCTATCTATCTATCTATCTATCTATCTATCTATCTAGTCCAGGTGTGCCCGGTGGCATTAAGCCTTTGGGAGTCTTGAACTTGTACCCTCTCTATCTAGCTGTGGTTGGGCGGGGTGGGGTTAGAACAGGAAGGGGCCATGTTTGAGGTAGGAGGGTCAGCGTGGAGGAGAGGCTTAGGAGTGGCCAGCCTGAGGCCCCCAGTTCAATCCCCAGTGCCAGAAGTGAGGAGTAGGGGCATAGCTCTGTGTGGGCGCTGGGCAGCCCCTCTGGCCACAGGTTCGAGACTTGACCCACAGAAAGTTCTCCCAGGCATGCCTCAGGGGCAGCCCAGGCTGTGGGGAGCAGGGGGTCCCACAGGCTACTGTCCCTGTGTCCCCAGGCCACGCCGCACCACGGGGTGTATTCACGGGAGGAGGAGCTGCTCCGAGAGCGGAAGCGCCTGGGCGTGTTTGGCATCACCTCCTACGACTTCCACAGCGCCAGCGGCCTCTTCCTCTTCCAGGCCAGCAACAGCCTCTTCCACTGCCGCGATGGGGGCAAGAACGGCTTCATGGTGCGGCCTGGGGGCCCCGGGGTGGGAAGGGGGGCAGCACGGGCTGCAGCCCCTGGACAAGGATGGCTTTGGGGTTTCCTGGGGGCCATAGGGTGAGCAAGGGTGGGTGCAGGGATTGTGACTACCCCTGAATGGGCCTCTGTCCCCAGGTGTCCCCCATGAAGCCACTGGAGATCAAGACCCAGTGCTCAGGGCCCCGGATGGACCCCAAAATCTGCCCCGCCGACCCCGCCTTCTTCTCCTTCATCAACAACAGCGACCTGTGGGTGGCCAACATTGAGACGGGAGAGGAGCGGCGCCTCACCTTCTGCCACCGGGGTGAGGCTGCCAGGGGCCTGCTTCTAGAAAGCCCTAGAACTTTCCTGAGCAGAGTACCCCCAACGCTGAGGCCATCTCTGCCGGGGGTGCAGCTTACCCCAGTGTCTGGCCACCACCCCGGGCTGCCCTCTCGGCCTGCCCCTCCCCACCTTCTAGCCACCTGGCCAGCCCCAACCTGCTCTGCCACTGGGACCCCTTCCAGAGCTGGAGCCACACTTAGCTGTGCATCCGGGGGCGTGGTCCTGGCAAGGAGTGGGAGGCGCTGTGGCTCAGCACCGTCCCAGGCCTAGGACATGACAACCCCACCCCCTGGGAAACTAGCTGCCCATGTCCCAGTGTCCAGCCAGGGAGCTAAGATGCTGCCCTCTCCCCAGGATCATCCAGTGTCCTGGATGACCCCAAGTCGGCCGGCGTGGCCACCTTCGTCATCCAGGAGGAGTTTGATCGCTTCACGGGGTGCTGGTGGTGCCCCACAGCCTCCTGGGAAGGTACGTACCCTGCCTATCCACCTGGCTCAGGGCCCTGCTGCCAGTCAGTCTCCGCACTGTCCCTGTTACCTGCAGTGTCCCCAGGGTCAGGACGAGTGACCACTGTGGCTTCCCCCACTGGCCTGCCCTGCAGCCCATCTGGAGACGGCAGTGGCCGAGAGATAGGGTGAGCTGTGGCCCGCCTCCCCCGTGGGCTTGCCCCAACTGCAGCCCCTGACTACGGGGCACAGGGCTCCGACGTGTGGTGGGGCTGCTCCCACCCGAGTCCTCTCAAGGCCTCACATGCCGCTTACCCGTCGTGGACAGTCAGGCCCCATCTGGTTTGGCAGGCAGCGCAGGTCCTGAACCACAGGCCCAGCCCTGCACACGTCTGAAAAGTGTGGCTGCCCAGCGTGTGCCCTTCCTTCCAGGCTCTGAAGGCCTGAAGACACTGCGCATCCTGTATGAAGAGGTGGACGAATCTGAGGTGGAGGTCATCCATGTCCCCTCGCCGGCCCTGGAAGAGAGGAAGACCGACTCCTACCGATACCCCAGGACAGGTGAGGCCTCCCCGGGTACGCACACATCAGCCACTCATGGCCAGAGGGGTTTGTCCAGAGCCTGCCTCCACCTGGCCTAGCCAAGCCTCATCATCACAGAGCTCAGAGCCCCACAGGCTCCCGTCTCAGCTGGTCACTGCTGCACCTACCCAGCCCTGCTGCCATAGACCACATCAATCACAGACAGAATGTATGGGCTGTGTGCCTGGGAATGGCATGGAAGCTCATTCCTGTACTCCCTGCACTCAGGAGGCTGAGGCAAGAGTGTCATTTGAGTCCAGGGTAACCCAGATAAGGCCTCATAGCCAGACTCGCCAAAAAAAAAAAAAAAAAAAGAGGAGGAAGCCTTTATTATTATTATTATTATTATTTTGCCAGTCCTGTGGCTTGAACTCAGAGCCTGGGCACTGTCCCTATGCTTCTTTTTTTCAAGGCTAGCACTCTACCACTTGAGTCATAGGGCCACTTCTGGCTTTTTCTGTGTATGTGGTGCTGAGGAACTGAACCCAGGGCTTCATGCATGCTAGGCAAGCACTCTACCACTAAGCCACCTTCCCAGCCAATCTAAAACCAGGAGGCAGGATACATGGATTCACCAACCCTGTCACTGCCAGACAGGACTGCAGGGCCCGTCATTCTGTGAGGTGCCTCATGCTGGTCCTCTACCTCCCTCCTCTTTCTTTCTGGCATCTTCCCTTCTTCTCACCGTTCAGAGTGTCTGTATGCGGAGTCAGCTCTGCCTGGGAGAGGAAGACCAGGCACCACTGGCAGATCAGCAATTCTCTCCAGTCATTTTAAAATGGCTCCTGAGCTGGGCATGGTGGCACACACCTGTAATCCCAGCACCTGAGAGGCAAGTTGTAGGCCAGCCACAGCGAGACCCTGTCTGAACAACTAACTAAATGAAAAGCTCCCCTGAGCCAAGCAAGCCCTGTGCTGGACTCAACCCCAGGCCCCACCTGCAGCCTGCCTGGTGGTGAGGAGCAGCTCTGCCACTCCGCCCCTGACCGTGCCCACAGGGCCTTCCCAGGAGCACTGCCGGCCCCTTCCTCTGTGATAACCCACCTCTGCCCTGCCCTGCTTGGCAGATGGGCAAAAGGCTGACCTGCCCTGACTTCTAGAGTCTAGGGCCAGGACAAGGTCTGCCAGCATTTCCCTCTACTGCTGTCCGAACCAAGCCCTTCCTCACAGAAGTCCCGCTGACCGTCCTCACCCGTGGCTGCTGCCTCCCCCTGTGCTGTGCAGGGCCTGCTGTTCCCGGGCCCGCTGCCACCAGCCCTTAGCTCCACCTCCCACCCCGCCCTGTGCCAATCCTTAGCTCCACCTCCAGCCCTTAGCTCCGCCTACAGCCCGGCCCCACCCCTCCAGCCCTTAGCTCCGCCTACAGCCCAGCCCCAGCCCTCCAGCCCTTAGTTCCGCCTCCAGCCCAGCCCCAGCCCTCCAGCCCTTAGCTCCGCCTCCAGCCCAGCCCTCCAGCCCTTAGCTCCACCTACAGCCCAGCCCTCCAGCCCTTAGCTCCGCCTACAGCCCAGCCCCAGCCCTCCAGCCCTTAGCTCCGCCTACAGCCCCACCCTGTGCCAGCACTTGGTTCCGCCTCCAGCCCTGCACCAGCCCTTAGCTCCACCTCCAGCACCAGCCCTTAGCTCCAGCCCCTCCCCCCCTGCCCTGCACCAGCACTTAGCTCTGCCTCCGGCCCTCCCTCACCAGTACCTAGTCCCATCTCCAGCCCTCCTACACATGGGCACTTGGACCTGCCTCCAGCCCCGCTCTGTGCCACTACTTAGTCCTGCCTCCAGCCCCGCCCTGTGCCACTACTTAGCCCTGCCTCTAGCCTATCCCTGTGCCAGCCCTTAGCTCCGCCTCTAGTCCCACCCTGCACCATCACTTAGCTCCGCCTCCAGTCCCACCCCGCACCAGCACTTAGCTCCGCCTCCAGCCCTACCCTGCACCATCACTTAGCTCCGCCTCCAGTCCCACCCCGCACCAGCACTTAGCTCCGCCTCCAGCCCTACCCTGCACCAGTACTTAGTTCTGTCTCCAGTCCCACCCTGCACTCTGCAGTCAAGGAGACCAGTTTCTGTCAGAAAAGTACAGGCCCCCAAGTCAGTTCCTGCCCAAGGGGACTTGGTGGCATGCGAGGGAGGGGACTCACGGTAGACAGACCTTTGTATCCCTCTCCCCCCCCACGGACCCACCACACCACCACGTGGGCCCGACAGCCAGGCGTTCCAACTTGCTCTTTCTTCCATCACAGGCAGCAAGAATCCGAAGATCGCCTTGAAGCTGGCCGAGTTCCAGACAGACAATCAGGGCAAGGTAGGGGCGGCTGTCCCGCAGAAGCAGGGAGAGGGATGGGAACACATGCCCCTCCCTCTGTCTTTTCTCACTCAGTCTCCCTCCCTCTGTCCAGAGCCTCAGCTGGCCCTGGCCCTGTTTATGTCTGAACCTCTGGCTAGATGAACAAGCTTCCCGCCAGAGCTCCCTAAGCTGCTAGCAGTGGGAGCTGGGAACCCCCAGGCCCAGAGCTCAGAGCTTGAGGGGCTTGGGTGTGGAAGTTCCTGAGCTTGCAGGGCGGCTTCCTCACCCCAGCATCTTAGGCTCACCTCTGCCAGCCCAGCAGCTGTGGGGATGGGCAGTGTTCTGGATGCTTCTCTATTCCCCCCATTGGCATGGAGCTTGGGTTCCACACTCCTCCCAGGTACAGATGGCATAAAAGGCGCCATCATCCCCTATCTACTACCATGACCTGGTCTCAACCTCAGGCCCGCACACCGTGGGGCACTCAGAGAGAAGCTGAAATTTGACATGTCAGTGGCGTCGGGGATGTGGCGTTGGAGGCCTCCCTAGGGCAGATCCTGGGCAGGGGGACCGGGCAGAGGCCGCACATGCAGGCCTTCCCAAAACACCTAGTGTGTTCTATAGCAGACCTGAGATCTCATATGTGTCGAGTGTTCCTGCACATTCTGGAGCACATCTGAGGGCACGCGTCCTTGCTATCATTGGGGGCGTATTGCATCCTCATTGGCCAAACCTCTTTCACTGTCATCTGGAAACTTCCAGCCTGTGGGAGGTGGATGTCCCCAGCCACTGTGCATGGCATACCCAATCCCCACCCCCCCAGGCAGCTTCAGGCCGCCCTTGCCCCAGGTCTGGACAGAGGTGATGAGCTGGGGGGGGGGAGGGAGGGACTGGTGTCCATGTGAGGGGGAAGGAGGGATCCCTGCGTCCCTTTCTCCCCACTGGTCCTGTTCAGGCTGGAGAACCCAGGCAACCAGGAGTTGTGTCTGCCCAAGACAGGTGGCTCCACCAGGACAGGCCTGAAGCCTTTGGTTTCCAGAGCAGCCTATGCTGCCATGGGCCTCCTGCCTCCCTTCTTGCCCCATTGGGGGGGAGGGGCAACCAAAGCCCACCAGGGCAGCTGTAGCAAAGTGCCATGGTCTGGCAGCTCGGGCAGCAAGCAAGTAGGAGGGCCGTGTTCCTGCCGCTGGCCGTGGGTCTTCCACATGTCTTACATTGGACAAGGCACATCCTACCTTGTGTGACATCGTCAGCGTAACTTGTGACATGTGTAGCTGCCGCATTTCCAAAGTAGAAGGCATTCCAAGGTTCTGGGGGGGGTCTGAGTTCCAGCTCACCAGGGCCCACCGCCCCCAGCCTGGTGACCCGTGTCTGTCTCTACAGATTGTCGCGGCCCAAGAGAAGGAGCTGGTGCAGCCCTTCAGCTCCCTCTTCCCTGCGGTGGAGTACATTGCCAGGGCTGGGTGGACACGTGACGGCAAGTAGTGAGTATTGCCCGCCGAGCTGGCTTCTGGGCCCGGCCCTGTCCTCAGGCCGCTCCTAGCCTCAGCGGTGAGGGCACAAGAGCCTGATGGCTGCTGGCACCCCCACGCTGGAGCTTAGTTCTTCAGGGGTGATCCCAGTCAGGCATCAGGCCGTGCTTACCTACTCTCCAGCCTTTGCCACAGACTCGTCTCCAGCACTGTTCTAAACCAGGGCCCCAACCATGTCACCAGCCACGCTCCGCTGCCCCCTGCCTTACCGCAGCCCATCAGCCAAAAGCACCCTAGTGATCGGGGCAAAAATCTAAAGACTTGGTAGTTTGGGGAAATTTTGTTTGTTTGTTTTGAGACAGTGTCACCAATGGAGACCTTGTGATCCTTCCTCCCCCACATCCCAAATGCCCCTGTCCCCAATGCAGATTGTGTAACACTGTACACCAATAGGAAATCCACATCACCGTGTACAGAGCTGTCAGCACACATGTGAGGACCTGCGGTCCTCTACCCTTCTCCCCTGGCCACCTTTCCCCGTCCACCTGCATGTGACCTCCAGAGCTGAGGTGCTGCCTCTGCTGCCCTGGTTTGTTTTGTTTTGTTGTTTTTTTTTGCCGGTCGTGGGGCCTGAACTCTGGGCCTGGGCGCTGTCCCTCATCTCTTCAGCTCAAGGAGAGCACTCTACCACCATAATGCTCCTCTTCCTTTCTCTGTCACTGTAGGTAGATGAACATTGATGAACATTTACACCCATGGTGCCACCTTGTCTCCTTGTAGATAAACCAAAACTTAAACACTGTCCACTAAAGCCATGTCTTAGTGGTTCATGCCTGCAATCCTAGCTGCTCAGGAGGCTGAGATCTAAAGATCATGGTTTGGAGCCAGCCTGGACAGGAAAGTCTATGGGACTTTTTTTTTTTTTTTTTGGTCAGTCCTGGGGTTTGAAACTCAGGACCTAGGCGCTGTCCCTGAACTCTTTTGCTCAAGGCTAGTGCTCTACCCATTGAGCCATACCACCACCTCCAGTTTTTGAGTAGTTAATTGGAGGTAACAGCCTCCCAGGGACTTTTCTGCCTGGGCCCCCTTTGAACCACAATTCCCAAATCTCAGCCTCCTGAGTAGCTAGGATTACAGGTGTGAGCCACCAGCACCCAGTTTCCTGAGTCTCTTACCACCAACTAGCCACCAAAAAGCCAAAAGTGGAACTATGGCTTAGTGGTAGAGCACCAGCTTTGAGCGAAAAAGCTAAAGGACATAGCTCAGGCCCTGAATTCAAGCCCCAGAACTGATATTAGAAGCAAAAAAAAAAGGAACAACAGCAGAGCCCCTGTCCATCCATTAAAGTGTAAGGTGTATTAAGTAGGTAGGTTTCATTAGATAGCTGATGAAGAGAACACCATGCATTACTCAGGCAGGAAAAGAAATTTATTTACCTAACTGCTGCTGTCCCCCTCTCCCCCCAATGCATGGTGGAAAGGCATGGCTAAAAAGGGAGACCTACCCCAGGCCAGGGACAGGAAGAGGTGTGGCCAGGTAGAGGGAAGGTGTGGCCATACTGGATCTGGGTGTGACCTCAGGGCCTGGACCGCCTATAGTCAGATGGAAGGCCAGGGACGGCCTAGGATGTGATCTAGCAGGAGTGGGAGGTGACTACTTCCAGTTACCTAGGTAACAGATACTGTGCCAGTTACCTAGGTAACAGATACTGGGTAGAAACTTAGCTAAGAGATAGGGGGAGGTGTCTGCACAGGGCCTGCATGGCCTGGGGCAGACCTTACATGAAGGGTAGGGGGCTTAGTGTTAGAGCTCCTGCCTAGCCAGTGGGATGTCCGAGTTCAAACCCCAGTAACCCCTCCCCACAGAACAATGCAAGCCAGACATTTGCTCAGCTCTGGGGAGGCTGAGGCTGGAGGAGCAGGTACTGAAGGTCAGCCTGGAATATATAATGAGATGTAGCTAAAAACAAACAACAAGGGGCTGGGAAGGTGGCTCAGTGGTAGAGCGCTTGCCTTGCATGCATGAGGCTCTGGGTTCGATTCCTCAGCACCACATAAGCAAAAAGAAAAAAGCTGGAAGTGGTAGAGCACTAGCCTTGAGCTGAAGAGCTGAGGGACAGCGCCCAGGCCCAGAGTTCAGGCCCCCACGACCGGACTCAAAAAAAACAAACAACAACAAAAATTGCCTACTTAAAGCAAATCATGAAATGCCGGGCACTGGTGGCTCACGCCTGTAATCCTAGCTACTCAGGAGGCTGAGATCTGAGGATTGCGGTTCAAAGCCAGCCCGGGCAGGAGAGACCTTGAGACTCCTATCTCCCATAAACCACCAGAAAACCGGAAGTGGCGCTGTAGCTCAAGTGGTAGGGCACTCGCCTTGAACTGAAGAGCTGAGGGACAGAGCCCAGGCCCAGAGTTCAAGCCCCACAACCGACAAAAAAAAAAAAAAAAAAGCAAATCATGAAGTAAAGGATGGTGAGGGAGAAAGTTGGTGTGGCTAGACTTGGGGTTTGGGGTAGGGTTTGCAGAGCCCTGGGCTGACAGGCTTTCTTGGCCTCCTGGTTCTAAGAAGTTCGGGCCAGTCTGCATGGAGTCAGCGAGGAAGCGGGACTGGCTTGTAGCAGGGCCGATCCATCGTCCAGTCACTGAGGCCTTGGGCTTGCCTTCCTTCTCCCCCCCCCGCCCTCCCCCCCTCAGCGCCTGGGCCATGTTCCTGGACCGACCCCAGCAGCGGCTCCAGCTGGTGCTCCTGCCCCCGGCCCTGTTCATCCCGACCCCCGAGAGCGAGGCACAGCGGCTGGCCTTCGCCAGGGCCGTCCCAAAGGACGTCCAGCCCCACGTAGTATACGAAGAGGTCACCAACGTCTGGATCAACGTGAGTGGACACAGAGCTGAGGGCTGCCCCTCCCCAGCGGGCCTTGCTTGGGGCAGGCCGGAGCCACGGAAGCCAGCCTCTTCTGATGCCGCCTCTCTCCCGTCCCGCAGGTGCACGACATCTTCTACCCCTTCCCGCAGGCGGACGGCCAGGAGGAATTCTGCTTCCTCCGTGCCAATGAGTGCAAGACCGGCTTCTGCCACCTGTACAAAGTGACCGTTCTCCTCAGGGCCAATGGCTACGACTGGACTGAGCCGCTCAGCCCCCGGGAAGGTGAGCGGGAGGACCGTGGTAGTCCAGCCAGCCAGCCAGCAGCATGTGCCGAACCCCACAAGCTGTGCCGGGCCCTCCGCACCAGGGTTTGGCTGTCACCTACATGATAGGGGCACAGGCCACGACACTGAAAACCCAGCTGAGGGCCCTGTGCTGGTGGCTCATTCCTGTAATCCCAGCTGCTCAGGAGGCTGAGATCTGAGGATTGTGGTTTGAAGCCAGTCTGAGCAAAAAAGTCTCATGCCTGTAATCCTAGCTACTAAGGAGGCTGAGATCTGAGGATCACAGTTCAAAGCCAGCCCGGGCAGGAAAGTCCATGAGACTCTGACCTCCAGTGAACCACCAGAAAACCAAAAGTTGGTGCTGAGGCTCAAGTGGTAGAGCACTCGCCTTGAGCTGAAGAGCTGAGGGACAGCGCCCAGGCCCAGAGTTCAAGCCCCATGACTGACAAAAAAAAAGAAAAATGAAAAAGAAAAGTGATGTACAGAGGCCTGTGCAACTCGTAGCTCCAGTTAAGCACCCAAAAGCTGGACATGGAGCTGTGGCTCAAGTGGGAGAGCATCAGCCTTGAACAAAAAGGCTCAGGGACAGTCCTAGATTCAAGCCCCAGTACTGGCAAAGAAAACCCATCAGCTGAGCCTTTGCATGACTAGAGCCCGACCACGCCAAGTCCCGTGAGGTCCTGACCCGAGCCCCCGGCTGCCGCCTATCACCCGGGTGCACGCGCTTGTGACCCAGCCTCCGCAGGCTTCTCAGGCAACACAGGCGCCTGGCTCGCCTGCCCCTGCCACCCAGCCCTGGCATCCCCTCCTGTGCAGGTGGATTGTGGCCTCAGGGCCCTGGCATGGCTGCTGGGGTGCCTTCATCCTCTGCTTCCTTCCTTTGCAGATGAATTCAAATGTCCCATCAAGGAGGAGATTGCGCTGACCAGTGGCGAGTGGGAGGTCCTGGCCAGGCACGGCTCCAAGGTACCTGTGAGCCCCATGCTGCCTCTCCCCCCACCCCTACCCCCAGCACCCAGGGTGGGCAGGGACCCTACCTGCCCAAGATGAGAGGCTGGGGGTGCAGGTCAGAAAGGGGATCGCCAGTCACCCGTCCCCACCCTGCTTCCCTCAGTTAACTGGCCTGGCCTCAGTTTCCCAGTCTGTACATCAGGATAAGGAATAGTCATATCGCAGCGTCTGCTCTCCTGGGGCCTCTGCCCGTGGGGCCCACCAGGCCTGTGCAGCCCCTGACCTCCACTCCTTAGCCCTTACTCATCCCTGGGCACACCCCTTCCCCCCCAGCCCACCTCCCCCCTTCACATTCTCAGGCCAAGAACTCCCTCCCTCACCGTGAGTGTCCCCCCGACACACCAGAGTCCCCCATGCGCTCAGCCTAGTGTGGGCCCCACCCGAACCTGAACCCCGTGCTTCTCTGTGGAGAGGAGGGGTGTCTTCTGAAGTCCTCTCTGGGGCCCTGCTGTGCCCCTCCCCGAGTGGGGACTCGTCAGAGAGAAGCCACAGCCAGCAGCCGGGCCCAGGGCCCCATGGCCAGTGTGTGCCCAGACACAGCCTGTGCTGAAGAACAGTAGCCACGAACACATAGCATTCTGGTACATTTCCACTGTTCTCGGAAGACAGAGAGGTGCCCTGGAGCCCCCTCCTCCAGGCTATGGCTGCCCATGGTAGAAGGGCTTTGGGGTTCCTCAGAGTGCAGGGGTCCCGGGGCGTCTCCACGACCCATCCTGGGTCTATTGTTGCCTTCTTTTGACGGTGCTTGGGGCCTTGCGCTTGCTGGACAGGGGCTCTACTACTTCAACCACAGCTCAAACCTCTTTGTGGATTTTTGTTTGTTTGGTTTGGTTTTGGTTTTCTGTTCCTGTTCTGGAGCTTGAATTCAAGGCCCAGGTATTGTCCCTGAGCTTTTTTGCTCAGAGCTGGCATTTTACCTCTTGAGCCACAGCTCCACTTCCAACTTGTTACTGATGGACAGACTTTTCTGTCCAAGCTGGCGTTGGGCTTTGTACTGTGATGCTTAACTCTCAGCCTCCTGAGTAGCTGGGATTACAGGTGTGAGGCACTATACCCTAGCCATGCTTGCCATTGTTTGGTGGTGGCCATGTCTTCCTGCCAGCCCAGTCTGCACAGCGAGACCCTGGCTCAGAAATAAAGGCAACTGCTTTGCTCACCCCTCCTTCCCCCGCCCTCCTGTCCTATGGAAAGTATTTTGTCTTCAAGGTGCTGGTTGGACTCCAAACCAGCAGTGCGGTTCCAGCCCCTCCTCCTCCCACCCCAGCAGGCCGCCTGTCCTTCATTGATTCTTCCGTCCCTTGCTGGCCTGACCACTCCACGCATTCTCTGCTGGCCGGGCCTCTCAGGACCTGGGCTGAGGCAGTGGACTCCCATCCATGTTCCAAAGCAACCAGGTCCTTGTGCTGGGGATGCTCCCCCTGCAGAAATCCATCCTCTGTTGCCTCCGTTTGGGTCACCAGTCTTGCTGGTAGTGTGCATTTCTGGGACCACTCTCATCTTCACCCACAGAAAGAACTCCAGCCGCCTTGGGCCCAGTGCCCTGCTGCTCTGAGCCCCACCAGGGACCCCACCCAAGTCACAGGGAGCCACAGTGCTTCCCCAACACCTGGCTACAGGGACTGGCAGTGCAGGCTCCCCAGCCTCTGATCTGGCTCAGATTCTGCCTCATTGTCCCAGGACCCATCCAGGGGCTGAGGCTGAAGCGAACCCCACCTCGTTTGGGGTCACATAGGCACAAAAGACAGTGCAGGCCGAGGGGAAGGCGCTCACAGGAGCCCTGGGTCCCTTGCAGATCTGGGTCAATGAGGAGACCAAGCTGGTGTACTTCCAAGGCACCAAGGACACACCGCTGGAGCACCACCTCTACGTGGTCAGCTACGAGTCCGCCGGCGAGATCGTGCGCCTCACCACACCCGGCTTCTCCCACAGCTGCTCCATGAGCCAGGTGGGCCCTCCTCCCACACCCCTCCCCATGCCCCAGCCCCTGCCAGCAGGCAGCCCTGCTGCCTCCTAGGGGAGAACAGGGATGGGGGCACAGCCGCTCACCTGGAGCCCATCTTCTGGGCCTTCATGCTGCTGCTGTGGGATGTGGAATACACCCCTCAGAGTACAGCCCTCAGAACATTCCAGAACATACAGTAGTGGCCATACTGGCCCTTCCCCGTGCAGTGCCCCTGATGGCTATAAAGCCAGCAAGACCAGAAGGCCTGGGTGACGACCCTGGAATGCTGGCCAGACTCAGTTTCCCTGTCTGTATCGTCCCAGGCGGTTGGCCCAGTGCTAGAGCGCCCAGCCGAGGGTGGGCGGGGCCTGGTGGGTGGGCGGGGTGACAGGGGAAGGGTCTGTGTGTGGGTTGCCGGGGCGGAGCCTAGTGGGTGGGCGGGGTGACAGGGGAAGGGCCTGTGTGTGGGTTGCCGGGGCGGAGCCTAGTGGGTGGGCGGGGTGACAGGGGAAGGGCCTATGGGTGGGCGGGGCCCTGTCGGTGGGCGGGGCCGCGCCCCGCTGAGCGCCCCGCCCCGCCGCCCACCCGCAGAACTTCGACATGTTCGTCAGCCACTACAGCAGCGTGAGCACGCCGCCCTGCGTGCACGTGTACAAGCTGAGCGGCCCGGACGACGACCCGCTGCACAAGCAGCCGCGCTTCTGGGCCAGCATGATGGAGGCGGCCAGTGAGTCCGGGACCCTGCATCCCGCACCCCACCTCGGACCCCAGCCCGGCCCGGCCCCCGCACGCCCCGCGTGGCCGCTGCGGTCGGTCCGTGCGGACCCTGAGGCCTGGGTCGTCCGCCCCGGAGCCTGCGGCCAGGGGTTTCCCATGCTGGGAGCGACCCCCGTCACCATCTCAGAAACAGAACGGAAACAAGCACGCAGCCCAGCGTAGCATCTGGTTACCCTGGTGGCACCTGGTTAAATGGAAAACCAAGCCAGCCCCCAACTCCACCCTACCTGCCATGCTGGTGGTTTCCAGAACATTCTAGAAAGTGTTCTAGAAACTAAGAACTGTGTGTGATGAGCTAGAAAGTATTTTTTGTTCCATTGTCACCTCCAGAACAAAAGCAGGTGTGGCCCATCCTTGAGCTTTGTCCCTGTGGGTTACGGTTTCATCCACGGGGAAGGGAGGGGCCTCACTGAGGCCAGAGCCCACGTCCCACGGCGCAGGCTCACAGATGCCTATGCCAGGAACGGGTGAATTGGGGCCAGCGCCCGCCACGTGTGGCCACCCTGGTGTCTGTGCCCAGGTCTGCGCTACAGCATGGAGTTTAGTAGCTGTGCCACCGAGGTAGAACCGTCTGGCCTTTTACAAACTTACCCCTGTTACTGCTGGCTGGTCTGCCTTCCTCCCTTCCCTTCCCCCCCAAAATGCTTTTAGGGTTAGGCTTTGAACTTAGGGCCTTGTACTTGTTAGGCAAGTGTTGTGTTACTCCTTTATACTCTTCCCCCATTTTTGCATTAGATTTTTTTTTTCCTGGTCCTGGGCCAGGACACTATCCCTGAGCTCCTTTTGCCCAAGGCTAGCACTCTACCACTGGAGCCACAGCGCCACTTCTGGCTTTTTTAGTGATTACTTAGAGATAAAAGTCTCACAGACTTTCCTGCCGGGACTGGCTTTTTTTTTTTTTTTCCTTTGGTCGTGGGGTTTGGATTCTGGGATTGCACACTGTCCCTGAGCTCTTTGGCTCAAGGCAAATGCTCTGCCACTTGAGCTACAGTGCCACTTCTCGTTTTCTAGTGGTTAATTGGAGATGAGTCTCATGGACTTTCCTGCCTGGGCTGGCTTTGAACCACAATCCTCAGATCTCAACCTCCTATATAGCTAGGATTACAGGCATGAGCTTCAAATAAACCTATAACTATCCTATAACTTCTTCGTACCTGGGATGACAGGTGCATGGCACCACAGCCAGCTCATTGTTTGGGATGAGGTCTTCCTTACTTTCTCTCCAAATTAGTTTCAACCTGTACCTCCCAAATAGCTGGATTACATGTATAAGCCACAGCACCTGGCCCGGATTTTCCTTTAGACCTGCTGACCCTATTTTCCTAAATAAATGCACTTTAATTTAAAAAAAAAAAAAAAAAAAGCCTTGGAGACGAGAGAATCATGAGTTCCAGACCAGTCAGGGCCACATAGAGAACCTATCTAGAAAGAGAAAAGAAGGAAAGCCTTGGCTCCATCATGGTGATTGGACATACAGTTTTTGCTTAAGTCAGTGAGAAGCAGACCATGAAATGAACCAACACGGCCAGCGCTCTTGGCCCTCTGTCCTGCAGGCTGCCCCCCGGATTATGTGCCTCCAGAAATTTTCCATTTCCACACACGATCAGATGTGCGGCTCTATGGCATGATCTACAAACCACACGCCCTGCAGCCAGGGAAGAAGCACCCTACCGTGCTCTTTGTGTACGGGGGCCCGCAGGTGCGTGCAAGCCTGGCCCCGGCCCAACCCGGCTTCTGCCACACCTGCTGCCTCTCACTTCCGCTCCCCATCTCCACCTCCTGGGGCAGGTACAGCTTGTGAACAACTCCTTCAAAGGAATCAAGTATCTGCGGCTCAACACGCTGGCATCACTAGGGTACGCCGTGGTGGTGATCGATGGCCGGGGCTCGTGTCAGAGAGGGCTTCGCTTTGAGGGGGCCCTGAAAAACCAGATGGTAAGTTTTCTTCTCTGTCTGAGCCCTCTCTTTGCTGCCCAGGGAACTCCCCGGGCACCATTCACAGAGGGTCAATCCATCCCCTGCTGCTCAGAGAGCTGTGGGCACCACACGCCTCCACAGTTACTGCCAGTCCTACAAAGATAGCGCCCGTAGTCACATGGTGGAGCGCCTGCCTTGCTGTCCCGCTCGGAGCGGGCAGGGGGACACACGTGTCCACCCATCCACACTAGCTAGGAAGGCGTGTACAGCTCAGATGCAGCAGATGCTGTGGGAAAGCCAGCCCACAGGGAAGCCAGCAGTCAGATGATGGCCTTAGAAGTATGTTAATGGGGACCGTGGTGGTGATGATGATGATGATGGTAGTGATGGTGATCGTGATGGCAGTGGTGATGGTGGTGGTGGTGGTGGTTACAGTGGTGGTTGGTGATGGCGGTAGTGGTGATGGTGGTGATGTTAGCGATGGAGGCAGTGGTGGTGATGATGATGGTGGTGATGGTGGTACTGATGGTGGTGGTGATGATGATAGTGATGATGATGATGGTGGTGGTAATAATGGGTCATGGTGCTATGGGCCAGCTTCTTGTTAATATTTCTCTTCAGCCATGAGCCGACTGAGGACCAGGGAAGGAATGTGCTGTTTCAGAACCTTCCAGGCATTGGGTGGCAGATCCGGGTGGGAGCGGCCCATCTGGCCATGGTCCCTAAGGTCTTTCAAACAAGAGCAGGCAGGCGCTGCAAGGCTGGCAGTGATGGAACTTGGGGAGGACTTCTTCCACCCAGGGAGGAAAGACCCCACAGGAGGGGCCACGTAGAGTAGGCTCACAGTCCCACAGGGCCCGAGGAGGTGGCCCTGAGCATGTCCTGCCTTGTCCCCAGGGCCAGGTGGAGATCGAAGACCAGGTGGAGGGCTTGCAGTTCGTGGCGCAGAAGTACGGCTTCATAGACATGAGCCGCGTCGCCATCCACGGCTGGTCCTACGGAGGCTTCCTCTCGCTCATGGGGCTCATCCACAAACCCCAGGTGTTCAAGGTAGGCCTGCCCTCAGCGAGCCCTGGCCGCAGCCCCCTCCCCTCTCCTCCCCTCTTCTCCGGTCCCCTCCCCTCCCACTGGCTGCCTGATCACTGCCCACACCACCGGGCCTGACCCCGGGGGAGGCACCTCGGCAGGGGCCTTGCCACGTGGCTGTTTCTCCCTGCAGCAGCCCCGTGGGGCCGAGCCCCCCTCCTCATTGCCCGCCACCGCTGACCCCAGGATGGCGTCCGGCTGCACAAAAGCCCAGCAGCAGCTCTCTGTGGGAGGCTGAGCCCGGGACCCCGGCCTTGGATGGGCAGAGGTGGGGCGTGGTGCAAAGAGCATCGGGGAGGGAGCCGGCCAGCCGCACTGTGGGGCACGGCAGGGCTGCGGCCATGAGGAGGAGGAGGAGGCAGGAAGGTGGGACGGGCACAGTCCACGGGGACACCGGTGAGGGTCACAGCCCCACCCACCACGTGCATGCCCGCCCTCACCCTCCTCTCTGCCCGCCAGGGTGGCCTGGGAACCTTGCACAGGCCGGCTCTGGACCTGACACCCGCCCCCCTCCCCTGCTCTTCCGTCCCTGTGTCCTCCAGGTGGCCATCGCGGGCGCCCCAGTCACAGTGTGGATGGCCTATGACACAGGGTACACAGAGCGCTACATGGACGTCCCCGAAAACAACCAGCAGGGCTACGAGGCGGGCTCTGTGGCCCTGCACGTGGAGAAGCTGCCCAACGAGTAAGACGCCCGCCCCTCCCCTCCCCCTGGCCCCCCTGTGCCAACTACTTGCCTCATTTTGACTTGCTGGCACTTCCTGGCCCGTGGAAGAAGGAAAATTCTAGAATCCCTGCCACTTAACTGGTCTGGTCTTCCTGGTTTCTCAGAAGCAGTTGACCCCCAAGTGCAATCCCCAGGGCTCATGCCCAGCTACAGGCAGCCTGTGGGCACTGACGCTGTTCTGGGATGCAATCTGGGGGACAGCCTCTGGTCCCCAAACAGTTCGGATGCACTGTTTTCCTGTGCATGCCAAACTGGGGCTGAAAGGCTGCCTGGATCCCCTCCCTGAGACCACCCTGCGGTCCCAGCAGTGCTCAAGCGAAGACAAAATGACAGTTGCCTCTCTGGTGCAGCTCCTAGCAGAGATGGGCACTGTGGCTGTAGAATGTTCTAGAACATGTGGAATGTTCTGGAACAGGCATGCAAAGCGATGTGACGACATTGCAGGGGCACCCAGCACCACAGTGTACAGCTGAGAATGTCACCTTTAGTCTCTCTTTTTTTTTTTTTTTTGCCAGTCCTGGAGCTTGAACTCAGGGCCTGGGCGCTGTCCCTGAGGTTCTTTGCTTAAGGCTGGCACTCTACCACTTGAGCCATGGCACCACTTCTGGCTTTTTCTGTGTATCTGCTACTGTGGAATCCAACCCAGGGCTTCATACTTGCTAGGCAAGCACTCTACCACTAAACCACATTCCCAGTCCTAGGTCCCTTAAGTAGATATCAATTTTGTAAAAAAAATAATAATAAAGGGGCTGGGAAGGTGGCTCAGTGGTAGAGCGCTTGCCTTGCAGGCATGAGGCCCTGGGTTCGATTCCTCAGCACCATATAAGCAAAAAGAAGCCGGAAGTGGCGCTGTGGCTCAAGTGGTAGAGCGCTAGCCTTGAGCTGAAGAGCTGAGGACCCATGATCAGACCCAAAAAAAAAAAAATAATAATAACAATAATAATAAAAATAAAAATTATCTGGGCACCAGTGGTTCACATCTATAGCCTAGCTAGTTAGGAAGCTGAGGATCTGGGGTCAAAGCCAGCCTGGGCAGGAGAGTCCTTGAAAGTCTTATCTTCAATTAACCACCAGAAAACCAGAAATGGCCCTGTGGCTCAAGCAGTAGAGTGCTTTCCTTAAGCTGAAGAGCTCAGGGACAGTGCCGAGGCCCAGAGTTCAAGCCCTATGACTACAAAAAAATAAAAATAGTAAGTAATTGGACTGGGAGGGTGGCTTAGTGGTAGAGTGTTTGCCTCACATGCATGAAGCCTGGGTTCGATTCCTCAGCACCACATACACAGACAAAGCCAGAAGCGGCACTGTGGCTGAAGTGGTAGGGTGCTTAGCCTTGAGCAAAAGAAGCTCAGGGACAGCGCCCAGGCACAGAGTTCAAGACCCAGGGTTAGCAAAAAATTAAATTAAAAATTAGCTTACAAAACTGAAGTGAAAAAGTCACGTGTCAGTCAACCCTGCTGCTCTTCTTGTGCTCAGTGGCCCAGGAGGGCAGTGTGGTTCTAGACCATTCCATCACCCAGAGTGCCAGGGAGTGGGGCCTTGCATGGCCCCGCTGCTGGCCGGAGCTGGGACCCTGACCGCCTTCCTGCCAGCCTCACCCACACTCATCTTCCAGGCCCAACCGGCTGCTCATCCTCCACGGCTTCCTCGATGAGAATGTGCACTTTTTCCACACCAACTTCCTCGTGTCCCAGCTCATCCGGGCGGGGAAGCCCTACCAGCTCCAGGTGAGCCCTCCCTCCCTCCTTCCCTCCCTCCCACCCCCACTCTGCTCCCCACTCCCCAGCTCATGCGGAAATCTGCTCACACAAGGTCAGATGGCCACCACAGGGCTGGGGACGAGGGCTGGGCACATAGGTGGCATCCCGGCTGCAGCCCAGTGGGGGAGGGCATCGATCCAAACTGAACACAGACCTCTGTGTCTGCTGAGGGGTGTCCAAGAGGAAAGGAAGCATGGGAATGCTGGAGTGAGGACTGTAGGAGGGAGGAGCTTGGGGACTTCACACAGCTGAGCCAGGCCGGGCCTGATGTGGAGGAGGCGTTTTCTTGTGGGTGGAGCTTCCCCGGTTGGGGGCGGGGCCTCTTCAGTCAGGGGTCCTCTGACTAGAGGGCAGGGCCTTGAAGGGAGGTGGGGCTCCCCATGGGCAGAACCACTGGGGCCTGTGCCTTGGCAGGCCCAGCCACACTGAGCAGGGAGGACGGGGAAGAGCTGGTGGACCATCCCCCAGTGCCAGCAACCTTAGCAGATGTGAGGTGTGGAAGGGAGGTGGTCAGGAAGGGTCCTGTTGCGGAGGAGGGATGAGCGAATGGAGACGAGCAGAAAGCAGGATGGCTCCCCACGTCACAGTTGGGTGGCCACGGCGGGCCTGAAATCCCGGGCGTTGGGAAACTGAGTGGGGTAGGAAGCACCTGGCTTTGTAGGAATCCTGGAAAGAGTGGGGCTGTCTCTACACTGTTCCAGCCCTGGGGAGCTGGGACACCCCCCTCCCCGAAACTGCTCTCACAGCTCAAGCCTATTCAGGCCCTGTCTCCATCCAGCCCAGGACCAGGCCACCGGCTGGCCCAGATCTCAGGGACCAGGTTCTGTGGTGTGTGTGCCATACATCTCTGTCCCTTCTTGGCCATATCCCCTTCAGAGGGTCAGGGGACCCAGAAAACAGCCTGGGGCCTGAAGCTGGGCATGAGGCCCTGTGGGAAATGATGTGGCTGCAGACAGGGGCCCCCAGCGTCCAGCCAGGGCCCCTTTGTCACTGAGCAGGCCTGGGAGCTTTCCTCTGTGCCAGGCAGGCCATAGCCCAGCACACAGGCAGGCCGCAGCTGGCAGTGCTGGTGCTGATAGGAGCAGTGGCCTGTCAACCCAGCCCTCTCCCATCTCCCCCCCCCCCCCGTGTCCCTGTCCCCACAGATCTACCCCAATGAGAGACACAGCATTCGCTGCCCCGAGTCGGGAGAACACTATGAAGTCACACTGCTGTACTTTCTACAAGAGCACCTCTGAGCCCCCGCCTGGGAGCCCCCACCCCAGCCTTCACATCCCAGTGCAACCGGATGTCAGGAGGAACCGGGGAGGTGGGGTCCCCCACGTCCCCACAAGGTACCTCCTCTCACCACCCCGCTGGACAGCTGCGGCCACCCTGCAGCTGGCCGCCGCCTTCGCCCTGACGCCTTTCATCCTCTCGCTGGCGCTCCTGGCTTCGTGGCTGCTTCTCAATTGCCAGGACACAGTGACAGTGGCCAGCCTCCCCGAGGCTCTGCCTGGTGCCATCCCCTCCTTGTCCCCCGTTGTTGGGGAGGTGGGGCTCCCTCGTTCCCTCGCCTCCTCACCCCTGCTGGAAGGGCTGCAGCTCGGGCACCTTCGCCAAAAGACACTTGGAGGAGCTGGGGCTGGGAAGCCAGCCACCAGAGGCCCGGGCACCCCCGTGTGTGGCTCTCCAGGGCCTCTCGGTCCCCTGGCCCCGCCAGACCACCGTCCCCAGCACAGAAGCATGCAGCGCCTGCCCTCCCCGCCAGCTCCCACCTCATTGTCGTGTTGTGTCTTAGGGGGCATTTTAAATAATTATTTAAAGACAGAAAGCAAAGGGTATCCCTAAATCCAGACTTGGGGTCCACCACTGGGCAGTGGTGTTCCAGCCCAGCACCTGGAAGCCCCCAGTGCCCAAAGCAGAATGCAGAGAGTGAAGCAGGTGGTGGGGGAGGGGGGAAGGGGAGAAATAGGGGAATCACAGCAGGTACACAGTGTGGCTTCACCCACCGGCCCCTCCCCACCCAGCCATCCAGCCCCTTGTGTGTGTGTGTGTGTGTGTGTGTGTGCGCACGCGCATGCGTGTGTGTGTGTGTGTGTTTGTGTCTGCCTGCCTGGCCCTGTGCCTGCCCTGGGGTCTGGGGGTTGAACCTCCCCTACCTCAGGGTCATCCCCCCCCCTTCCTGTCCCTCCCTGCCAAGAGTTTGGGCATAAAGAAGGAAAAAAGAAAGCTTAAAAACAAAAAACAAACCCAAAACCCCTCTACATATTATGGAAAGAAAATATTTTTGTCATTCTTATTCTTTTATAATTATGTGTGTAAGAAGTAGACTCATTAAACGATTCCAGATGGAAATATGGCCACTTACCTGGAGTCCTTCTAAGACCTGGGCATGCTCTGAGTGGGAGGGGGTCTTGGGGGCCTGAGCACAAGGTGTAGCTGACAGGCGGTCTCCACAGGGCCTGGGGCTACCCTGGCATAGATGGGGCGGGTACACCAAAGACCCAGCTGGAAGCTTCCTAACCCAGCTTGCCTGGCCAAGGAGGAAACAAAAGGATCATCAGCTGAAGAAGCTCATGGGCTCATCTCTATAACATAACCAGTTTTGGCCAGCACTCCCTCCCAGATCTCTTTTTGTAGCCCAGAGCCTGACTGAGGACCCTACAGTGAGTCCTACTGTCTCCACCTTCTGTGGAGGTGGCAGGGTCAGCCTCATGTGACACTTTCCCAGAGGACTGCCAGCTCTTGTGCAGGAACACCCCCATTGCAGGTCACAGACATTTAGACAATTATACAATCACGACATCCTCACAGCCTTCTGTGCGTGTTAGGCAAATCCTCTACACTGAGCCAAACACCAGCCCAGACCACGAGAAAAACTGGGTTTTTGTTACATTGATCAGAAAAACTTTATGTATATATTATAAACATATAATTTTATTCTAAGGTGATGTACAGAGGGGTTAAAGTTACATAAATTAGATAAAGAATACATTTCTTTTGTTGTTGTTGGTCGTGGGGCCTGAACTCTGGGCCTGGGCGCTGTCCCTCAGCTCTTCAGCTCCACTTCCGGCTTTTTCTGCTTATGTGGTGTTGAGGAATCGAACCCAGGGCCTCATGCCTGCAAGGCAAGCGCTCTACCACTGAGCCACCTTCCCAGCCCGCTAGATCAGTTTGACATGCAGTGAGTCCACGCACACGCCAGCCACCGCAATTAAAAGTCATTTTCCTCACTCCCCAACTGCCAATCAGAAGAGGTGTGTGAGTGTCACGTGACGGTACAAACCCCGCCCACAACACGAAGACGGGAGGGGCGTGGCTTAGGGGAGGGGCGGTGCTTGTGGGTCACGTGGGTGGGCGGGCTGTGACGTGGCGTGCGACCGACGCCCCACGTGTCCCTCGCCGCGCCCCGTCCGCCCGCCGGCCCCGGGCGGCCCCACTCCCAAGATGGCGGCGCCCAGCGGAAGCCGCGGCGGCGGCGGCGCGGTCTGCTGGGCTGCGCTGCTCCTGGCGGCCGTGGCTCTGAGACCGACGGAGGCCGTGTCCGAACCCACGACCGTGGCGTTTGACGTGCGGCCCGGCGGCGTCCAGCACTCGTTCTCCCAGAACGTGGGTCCCGGGGTAGGTGCCGTCGGAGGTCGG